TAGAATGCACTTACACCTCTGCTTCTGCATGCCCGGGCATAAACCCATTCTACAGCCGTTTTTTAAGTGCATCCACTTCCTCCTGTGAGTGGCAAAGCAGCACAGCATACAATGGGCACATAATCTTTGATATTTTCTTGTATAGTTTAGATGGCAGATGGATTGCAGCAAAATGCTAGCTATACGTTCTACGAGTTTGGGTGAAGACATGAGGTCTCACTGTATATTTGTTCGGTTCCAGTTCAGGGTATCAAAAGCCAGGACAGGAAGACTCTTCGGCATCCAATCTTCCACTTCCCTCCAATCATTGGGCCCTTACTGATGAATACATTACTATGATTGGTGCTGGGGCATCTTTAAGATGTTAGAAAATGGGTGCAGTTTCTATCAGACACCATTAATCAAACTGAATACTTTTAAATTCATATAGGACTGTTATTTTCTGATTTGATAGTTGCCATCAATAGCGCTCTGCACATTTAGAAACTTAGTTACTTGGCAGAAATCCAGGTTCTCTCCACTAGCTCCTTCCTTTCCATTGGGAAAATAACAAATGTGTTTCTCCTGGAACAGGGAACTTGTTGATGCAGGCAGCTGACTAGTCTGGTACATAGTAGCTTAAAACAAGCTAAGAGCATAAAAGTATGAATTGGTGCTGACTTTTAACCACAACACAAAGCACTACCCTTTGTACTGGATATGGCGAGAGTATTAGGCCACATTGAGCCATATGACTTGCCAACTGCCTCTCTGAACTTTCATAGACAGTAAAGGGCAAAGTATATGGGCTTGACGTTTATGACTTAAACGTTGGGTCACCCACAGATGGATATTGGATGTCTGCCATGCCAACAGACCTGCTTGTCCTTTTCAGGAATTTCCTTTCCTTTTTCAAATCCAATACTGCCATCAACTGGCCAGATGGAATGCCCATGGTCAGCACTGCTGGCAGCTACAGGAGCCAACTATTAGGAAAAGGAATGTTGCTGTGGAAAGTGTGTTCAAATGGAGAAGACCAGCTGTAAGTGAACTAAGTCAGAAAGACCGCATCACAAATATGACAAGTTGCTTTAAAGTACGACCTTATTCAGCAAACAGTTTATAAGCAGCAAAAATCAATAAACCAAGAAAATGAAAGCGATGCTTTTGAAAATTTTCAGACTTTTCTATAGTTGCAATGGGTGCAATAATTGCCAGAGAAAGAGCCTCAGAAATTCTGAGGAGCTGTAACAGAGATCCTGTGTCACAAGTATTTGCTCTTTATTCCTCTCCTCTGTGCTGAAACTAGATTATTTGTTCGGTGCAAAAGGAATGGAATATGACTGGCTTGGTGCTTAGGTACACTCCCTATCACTGCCCTTTTCCCCCAACTAAATATGCATATCCATTTTGTTGAATCACCACCCAAAATATAGGGCAAATATCTATCCCCATGTACGTTAATTTATATACAGCGTTAAATATATTTCAAATCAGTTTTGCAACATTCAATGCATTTCCTTTGTCCATGCACTTTACAGATCCTTAGTTTCCTTGCAAATATAAGTGGGCAACTTTCACTTTCAGAGGTGACAGAATCTTGCAGTAATGGACTGGCTGCTTCTTAGTCAAGTCACCAAGTTTCCTACGCATTGACTTCAATGGAAAGATTAATTTTCACGGTGTAAAAAGGATAGCTGAACCAGTCTGGTTCAAAATGAACATTGCTCCCTGGAGTTTTACATACAGCTAGACTTAAACAATTCTGAGGATGGGTCACTGGACCCGAAACGTTAATTCTCATTTTCTGATTTGTCTCCACAGATGCTGCCAGGCCTGCTGATCTTTTCCAGCAATTTCTGTTTTTGTTTTGAATTTTCAGCATCAGCGGTTGTTGTGGTTTTTAGACTTAGACAGGATGATTTATAATTTCTTGATTATGTGAGTTACAACTTCCTGCCTCTGGACATTTGGGATAATATCCATTTCCAAAGAATATGGGATCATGACAATGGCTAAGCTTGGTAGTAGTTTGTGTTAAGACTATTCTGCTCAAGAAACTAGGAACAAATTTCTACATTTAGAAGTACAAAGTATGCAGTTAAATTCTTCAAAAACTTTGCAACAAATGCATCTGCCTCATCCCAAGCAAGACCGGAAATGAAGTAGGAATAAATGAGGGAAATGTGTAAGCATTAATTAATACGATACAGTTAATCAGTATATATTTTTAGGAAAGGATCCCACGTATTGTAAAACTAAATTGTACAGCAAACCTTTCACTGAAGTGGTAAAGGGAGAAGACAGCTGTCATCTTTCCAGTATTCATAGAAATCTTGATCTTGGCTGCCTTATTTTTGACCTGAATCTTCCAATCCTACCACTTGTTGTGCACTTCAAACCACTCTCAACCTGCTTGAGATAGCCATGTTCAATTTCTGAGTGATGCTTTGCCAAGTTACTTTTGGCAACATTAATGAATCTCCTGCTGCATGAAGTCTGAATTTTTAAAGACAATAAAGAGGGACAAAGCATCATTCAGAACTAAATGATTCATATGTGTATTTCCACTTCCCCTAAAGTGACCTGTGATTCCCAATCTGAATTTCTTCCCCATATCTTTGAGGAGGAAAGAAAAGTAGATATGCTTGCAACACTTTTGAACATCTTCCTCAATTTAAGTCCACCCTCTAAATTAGAAATTACACTGATTTTACTGTCATTCTTATTCACATCAACACCCTGTCTAAAATTCTAAAAGGCAGAAAGTTGCTGATTAATGAACATAGCTTGTATGAACAGAAGAAAATTAATTGTTCTTGTCAGCTCAGACATCCCATTTTAAAAATTTTATTATGTGTGTGTAAGGACAGAGATGATTGAATGATAGAATTTTAAATATTACATTTGCAGCTCTCAGACATAATAGAGCAGGCACTTGAGTGATTGACTACAGTTTTTTAATTGGCATCAGTGCTCTTGGACAGGGTAGGTTATCTGGAAAGAAACAACAATTTAATTGGCAACATAGAATGTGACTTGTGACTAAAACTCAGTGGTAGCAATAGCACTGATAAGCCTATTGTCATCTTTCGCCAATACTTTTCGAACTTGAGTTGAAGAATAGTGCATTAATTTAAGGGGAAATTTTGTAAATAGCAGAATGAGGAGATTAATGTTACCCTAATGTAAGTAAAGCTTAGTCAAGAGCAAACACATTATTGTAGAAAAACCTAGAGGATTCACTCAATAATTGACCCCAATTGCAAAAGCTTGTTTTGAACATGCTATAAAGGCGAGGGGTGGATATCATGGTATTCATGAATAAAGTTCTAATAACAGTTCAATTTAAATAGGATGCCTGCAAGTTTGTACAATGCATCTGTTCCAAATTATTATAAATTCCAAATTATGTTAATTCTACATACGACAAACAGCTCAATAGTGAATTTGACCAAGAATATATGCAGACTTTTAAAAATACTTACCTTGAAAAGAAATAGAAAGAGCGACTTTAAAATGAGATAACTGCTTTCCATCCATAATCATAACTGTTGCTTTGTGTTCATAGTTTGCACAAGATTACTTTGGTAAGATCAGAATTTGGAAGTGTAGTAAAAAAAATGGCATTTCTAGATTGCATTCTTTTCACTTGTTGAGCTCCAATATATGAAAATCTAGATAACAATCTCTAGGAAATCATAAAATATATTAGTTATTTATTTTTCTGAATTTAAACTCACAGAATCTCCATGTGTTGACTTTAAAAAGTGAATTTATGTAAGTCTATTAGGGCAGTTATATATTCATGAACATAACCCGAACTTATGAAAGCCTGAAGATAGCTCCACATCACTTAGGTACACATTGATTGCAACACACCTTTGATATTTCACTGCTTTTGAATTTAAAATGTATTATAATATGCAGATAGATTTATTAGCAATGGGAAACATTCAACAGGGAGATAATATAAATGAACAGATGTTAAGTGATCTAAAGTGGTGGGGCCTCCCTAAGATTTGCTTTCAGGATTGAAAACAAAGTTGCTGGAAAAGCTCAGCAGGTCTGACAGCATCTGTGAAGAAAAAGCAGAGTTAAAGCTTCGGGTCTGAGGAAGGGTCACCGGACCCGAAACGTTAACTCTGTTTTATTCTTCACAGATCCTGCCAGACCTGCTGAGCTTTTCTAGCAACTTTGTTTTTGTTTCTGATTCACAGCATCCTCAGTTCTTTCAGTTTTTATTTTGTTTTCAGGATTGTTGAGTACTTTAATATCGGAGGCTGTCCAAAAATTGGGCATCGGAACTCAATAAATCGCATGGGCAGGTGACGAAGTGTTGATGCCACAGAAAACTCTGAATGAGAATCGGTTGAAAAGCAATGTTGGTCCACTTGCTTTGTTAGCAAAGTCCTTATTGGTGAGAAATGCAATTTCAGGAAACTGCAATCCTCAGAAATGACATTTTTCCTGGCCTAATATAAGATCACCTTTCTGAAGTCACTTCCTGAACCACATCCACCTGGAAACCAGGGGAACAGATGCACGCCTATTTTGTTCATGGGAGACAAATCACTCTATTCAAAATGTTTGATGTTTGTTTTAGGACCAATCTAATAACGTAATGAACATCTTTAGTTACAGTTGGGTTGAATGACAAGTTCATAAAAAATGTGCGAAAATGTCCAATTTTTAGATTAAAGCTGTTTTATGGTAAAGTATTCACCTATGTATCCATCAAAGGCATAATTATTCCACTGAAATATTGTCACTACATGTACCAGACAGCTATAAAACATGTACTGCATTACACCAGAGAACTTAACAAACAGAATAGTACAATTCATCAGAGGTCTCTTTGGATTGAAATTCATACATCTAATTACATTTGTGATATCCTCAACGAATATTGATACAAAACAGAACAAGTCATTCAACATAAAATTAGGCAATGCCTTGACGCATCCAGTTTTAGATTCCAGCTACTGCAGAACAGAAACACTGAAGCATTTCAAACATACCTCAGTTTTTTGCCTCCCTCTGTAATCTTTGCCTTATTGAGGAATCCATTTTTCTCCATTGGTTGTAAACACTGAAATCAACAGGATAGAATACAAATGAAAACAAACCTAATAAGCAGTGTACACGATTGAATAGAATAAAAGCTCCGAATGATTATCTGAAAGGCAATTAATTTGGTATGGGATATCAAATCATGACAATTCTTTTGCATTTGCGAATTTTATGTGGGCAATACAATATATGATGCAAGCAAGAATGTTTGTTTCTCAGTACATCTGAATAACAATTTTAAAATATCACTTGTTCTGGTAATATGCTGAAGGAGTGCTGTTGACAGTGTTGGAGTCATTGCCTTTCAGATGAGACATTAAGCCAAGGATCTGTCACCCACTTGGTTAGACATAAGCAGCAGAAAACTGTCCCCTAATGAAAATAGAAAGTGCTGGAAAAACCCAGCAGGTCAAGGAACACCTCTGGAAAGAGAAACAGAGTTAACACTTTGAGTCCAAAATGACTCATTTTCTGGACAAAGAACAAAGAACAAAGAAAAGTACAGCATAGGAACAGACCCTTTGGTCCTAAAAGCCTGCACCGACATGCTGCCTGTCACATCTAAAACCCCCTACCCTTTCGGGGACTATTCTGAAGTCATTCTGAATGTTTCTCTTTCCACAGATACGACAAGACCATTTGAGTTTCTTCAGCACTATTTATTTTTATTTCAGATTTCCAGCATCCACAACATTTTACTTTCATCACAATGTTCTCCCCGCGTCCTGGTTAATATTTATCCCTCAACCAACATCATTAAAATAGATTGTAAAGTTTATTGTGATATTGTTGTTTGCATGAACTTGGTTGCCACATTTAAAACATTACAACTGCGACTGAACTCCAAATCTGATTTGATGCATGTGAAGTAATTTGACACAGCCTAAGATTTTGAAAGGTGCAAAGTGAATGAATGTTCGTTCTCTTACTATGTTAAACTCTATAATTAGAAAGTAAACTTGCAACTGAAGCTGCTTTTACTCAGCACAGCAACATAATGTTTTCACATAGGATTTTACTCTCAAGCAGCATACACTTTAGAAATTGGTTTAAGGAATACTCTATTGTAAGGCAATAGAGCTACATTGAATTATGTGAATCACATCAGGCAGAACTAAGATGGAATCAGAAGTATCCTGCAAGTGTCTGTAACCACAGGAAACATAAACGTAATATTGGCAATCCAAAGCTTGTTTGGCATTTTGACGTTGATCGCTGCTTTTAGGTAGAATAATACAGTTTAACAAATGGAAACAATGAGATAGCTGCAGCAAGACAGGGTAGGGGATGTCAGTTAGAGGGAGGAAGATCCATTAATTGGGGACACGAAAGGACAAAGCCCAGTCTAGTCATCTAGGGTTAACTCCTGTTTATAGGTCACCATGTCGACGTATCAATGTTTTATGCTACAGCATGTATCCTTTATGGAATCTACATGTCATAACAAAAACCTCCAAGAACGCAAATAAGCTTATCTTTGAAAAAACATTTCCTATTGTATTCAAAGTACATGGGATCTTGTCACTCGCAATGTGCTGGTGGGGTATTGAGGTCAACTACAACTCAGTTCCAGGTAGAAAAAATTGATGTTGGAACAATCTCGACAACATGATTAGTGTTTGTTGTACTTTCCTTTGTACAGACATGAACAGTAGCCTGGAAATATATCTTTATCGAGCAGACCACACGTCAGCACAAATTATACTCTTTCAATCTTTTTCTTTAAAAATATAAGCCTTGATGTATGATAGGAAAGACACACAACTAGAATGCATGTAAGCTAGTTATTCCATTACAGAATACTTACAGACTGATCCACCAGTCCAGTAATCTCAGTAAGATTGTGCTGAGAGTGGTTTCGTCTATGACGAGACACCTGGAAGACAAAACCATAAGGGCATTTTAAAACTTAAATACTTGTTCTCAGCATATATTTTAAAGTTAGTGGGTGAAATATTTGACAAAATCTGCTTTTTGGTACAGAAATACCTTGTGCCAGTTTCTTGTGGGACAGAGTGCACCCAAGCTCTGCTGTCCAATCAGTAACATGACTAGTGTGCTGCCCAATGCTGACTGGCTTCTCAAGAAATTCAAAGGGACTCAGGTGCTTGCATAACCAGCCCAACATTCCCTGCCATGCTAACAGATAACTTGTCCCTATTAAAGACGGGATGCACTCTGTTTCCACAGAACTGGTCTCAGGAATTCTTTGGAAGAGTCCTGATGAAGGTTCTCAACCCAAAACATCAACTTTCCTGCTCCTCTGATGCTGCCTGACCTGCTGTGTTCCTCCAGCTCCACAATACATTGACCCAGAAAGTCTTTGATTGAAGGTAGAATACTGATAATGCGGCATCAAGCTAGACAAAAGGACTCCCGTCAGCAGCAATGTAACACTGGATGCATTAATGGTGTAGGTGGAAGGGGAGAGAGATGTTAAATTTCCACAGGGCTTTGGTGGATCTCAGAACGTGCTGTATTCAAGGAAAACAAGGAATTTTGACTAGAAGTCAATTCTTGGAGTTTGACCTTGAGGATCTGGCTGGTATGCCAAGTAAAAGTTCAAAGATCTCATGTGTAACGTTAAGGCCAGTGAATGGAGCTTCACATACTATCTATTCCTCATCTACCAGAGTCTCATCCTGTTGGATGCACTGTCTTCCATCATTCACCTTTCAATAATCATGCTCAATATCACCTCCCCCCACAACACACATTTACCAGTGCTGTCAGCATCTCATGAGCCTCTCCTAGATTCCACTCTAGCTATTTAGCTATAGCAGCATGTTACCCAAATATGTTACAGCACACTAATATGCTACTCTGTCTCTTGCATGAGAAGATAGTGCAGTCTGCAACACAGAACCAGCAGGGAACAGGCACATCCACATTTCTGACAGAGTAGATAGTGCTTCACATAATAAGGCTGGCAGACACTGAGCCCCTTGCATCCACCATCATTGGGAACATTTAGAATGATGGCATGTTCCTGTGTTATTCTCCTTCTCTAATTCCACTTCACCTTCTTCCTACTATCTGACATAAAGTACAAACTGCAGATTCTGTGATCATGAACCATTTTGTCCATCATCCTACCTCGAGCCCTCTCTTACACACCAGTACTCACTTCTGCATTTTTCTTTTCCACATTTGCCTACTGGCCAGATAGTGCAACCTCATCCTGAAGGGCCTAAACAATTGCATACTTATGACAAAGATGTACCTGCCTCTGATTTAGGCCTAATGATATTGAGTATGACAGGCTGGCTCAGGTAAATGTGTCATAGCTGCTGCCAGGATAACACTCATTTTCTAACAGGATGTTCTGTGCATGCAGCTGCATGTTCACTGAGTGATAGCCCTTATTCTCCCATTAATATGTGAAACCTACAGTGCTTTTCTTCCCCTTGTGCTTATTTAGTAGTTAATATCAGGCATGAATCATGCACAAGGGACTTCTCAAACAAAGGTAAAGGAGAGGTTAATAACAGTACTACACAGTTAGAGAACTTAAATAAATATCTGAATTAGTAGCTTCCTTAGAACAAGCTGTGAGAAGGTCTAAATCATATCATATATTACATCATTTCCTCTTTGTGGCACACGGTTTATCACAACAGCCACAGGGCTAGGTGTAAGAATTAATAGGACTAAATCATTATTAAACCTACTTTTTTTTCCTTTATTCATTCACAGAATAAGGGCATTTCTGGCTAGGCAGCATTTATTGCCCATCCCTAATTGCCCAGAGGGCAGTTAAGAGTCAACCACATTGCTGTAGGTCTGGAGTCACATGTAGGCCAGACCAGGTTAGGATGGCAGTTTCCTTCCCTAAAGGACATTAGTAAACCAGATGGGTTTTTCCTGACAATTGACAATGGATTCACAGTCATCATTAATTGCAGATATTTATTGAATTCAAATTCCACCATCTTGAACCTGAGTCCCCAGAAGATTATCTGGGTTTAACAGTCCAGCAACAATACCACTAGGCCATTGCCTCCCCTGGCAAAGCCATGTATTCATTCTTCCTGCTTTTCTCCAGTGATGGGACTATGAGTTACTCTTTCCTAGCACTCTGTCACTTCCCTGACGCAATGTACACTGTAACATTGGAAATGTGATCTACTCCCACCTGGAAGGGATCTGTAATTGTAAAAACTAGCGTCCACAGAATTCTTCATGATCTCTGCTAGTACAGTCCATGGCCTGCTATGTGGTTAGGTCTGGTTACAGGAGATGGCACAGTTCTGTCACCTCCTTGGCAAAACACAGACACCTCAGGCACCGCTCCTAGCTGAAGTGGATGTTGTGTGAAGCTGTTGTCTGAAAACTTTCAGTAGCAATGACTTTCTAATGAGAGTTCTCCTTTACATTTACATGTAAAGCCACAGTCCAGGAGAACTGCAATCTAAACTCCCATTAGTGAGAATAGGATTTCTCCTGAGAGGACTTCAAGCTCTCCAGACCTCCATGTCAAAAAAATACTTTCCATATTCCTCCAAAATCTCACAGTGGAATACCTCCACTTACTTCACATTTACAGCTGGAATTTTGCAAGAGACACAATCATAAGGATGCAGCTGGAATGATCTGTACACTTAAGTTTTATCGAAATGAAGTTGCACTTAAATTTTCCGGTAACTTTATTAGCATAAATCTAAATATCATATTGCCCTTGAATGCACACAATTAATAGTGCAATCAGACTTAATCAATTACTGATTGGAAATATGGCCAACAGGATCTTGAACTTGCTGAATTATACCAATTTAAAAGTATCATGTGCTCAGGTCATTGCAGCAGTGCAGGAAGGATATTATTAAACCAGAGACGATTCAGAAAAGGTTTATCAGGATGTTGCCAGTTTGGAGGGTTTGAAATATAAAAATAGACTGGAAAGGCTGGGACTTTTTTCCACTGGAGCGTGGGAAGTTGAGGAAAGGTTTGGCGAGATATGGGCCAAGGGTAATTGTAATTTAAAATAATTTTACCATCAGAATGGGAAACAGACAAGAGTAAGATTTCAAGTCACTAAGGTTGCTGGTCGCCTCAACCTCTCCACCCCTCTCACCCACTCCAACCTCTCCCCTGCAGAACGTGCAGCCCTCCGCTCCCTCCGCTCCAATCCCAACCTCACCATAAAACCCGCGGACAAGGGAGGCGCAGTTGTAGTATGGCGCACTGACCTCTACATCGCCGAGGCCAGACGCCAACTCTCCGACACCTCCTCCTACCGCCCCCTTGATCATGACCCCACCCCTGAGCACCAAACCATCATCTCGCAAACTATCCACAACCTCATCACCTCAGGTG